CTACTTGAACCACTGCAGTCCTTCTGCTGTAGGTAGATCCAAAATGCCATTAGGAAGGGAGTTCCAGGACTGTCACTCCGTAACACAGAAGGAGCGGAGATGTATTTTCAAGTCAGGATGATGAGTGGCTTGGAGAACTTGCAGGTGGAGGTATTCCCACATACCTGCTACCTGACCCTGTCCTTCTCGGCAGAGGGGTTATGGGTTTTTAGAAGTGCTGTCTAAGCTGACTTGGCGAATTTCTGCAGCACATCGTCTGAATAGTACATACTATTACTGAACATCAGTGGTAGAGGGAGTAGATGCTCGTGCTGCCAATCAAGTGGACTGCTTTGCCCTGGATGGTGTCAAGTTTCTTGAATATTGTTAGAACTGCACTCATCCAGGCAATTAGGGAGTATTCCATTACACTCTGATTTGTGCTTTGTAGATAGTGGACAGGCCTTGGGGAATCAGGAGGGAAGTTACACATTGTTGCATCCTCTCTGACCTTCTCCTGTAACCACAGTACTTTTATGGCATGAGGGTTAGCTTCTCTCTTGTTGGAATGGTCAGTGCCTCACACTTGTGTGGTGGAAATGTTACTCGCCATTTGTTAGCCCAAATCCAGGTATTGACCAGGTCTCCCTGTATTTGGACATGGACTGCCTTACAGAAATCAAAAATGGTGCTGAACATTGCTGGTGACTGCACAAACATCCCCATTTCTGAACTTATAATGGAGGTAAGGTCATTAATGAAGCTGCAGCTGAAGATGGTTGGGCCCAGGACTGAGGAACTCCTGTAGGGATGACCTTAAGCTGAGGTGATTGACCTCCAACAACCCAACCATCTTCCTATGTGCCAGTATGGCTTTAACTAATGGAGACCTCATCCACCTCCCTGCCAGTTTTACTGAAGCACTTTGATGCCACAGTTGGTCAAATTTGGCCTTAATTTCACTCTCACCTCACCTCTGGAATTCAGCCCTTTTATCCATGTTTGAACCAAGGCTCTAATGAGGTCAGGGGCTGAGAGGCCCTGGTGGAACCCAAACTGGACATCACTGAGCAGGTTATTACTGAACACATGCTTCTTGACAACACTGCTAATGACATCTTCCATCACTTCACTGATGGTCGATAGCAGACTCATGGTACAGTAATTGGCCAGGTTAGATTTGTCTTGCTATGTGTACAGGACGTACCTGGGCAATTTTCCACAGTATCAGGTAGATACCAATGATGTAAGTGTACAGGAACAGCTTGGCTAGGGGTGCAGTAAATTCCAAAGCATGTGCTTTCAGAATTATTGCTGGAATGTTGACAGGGCTCAAAGCTTTTACAGTATCCAGTTCCTCCAACCATTTCTTGATATCACATGGAGTGAATCAAATTGGCTGAATAGTGGTATCTGTGATTTTGGAGATCTCTTGAAGGCTGAGATGGATTACCCACACAGGGCTTTGGTGAGACACCTAGACTATGGCGTAGAGTTTTTGTACCTTATCAGAAAGGCAAATGCTTGCATTTGCAATGTAACTGGCATCTTCTCGTAAGCTGGCAAAAATTATATACCTGAAATAACGGAAGTTTGCTGTGTTACTGTGATCTCCATGACGTCCAAGTAGCCAGTGGAGGGTGCAAGTGAGATGGCTCTCTGCTAATAAGTTTGATTTAAGGCAAAGTTGCATTATTGTTTAAGTGATATATGCTGTAAATAAAGTATAACAATCATGTGTATACCCCCTACATTACATTTCTGTAACTTAGTGAATGTTTTCATATTGATTATTTGGACCTCTTGACCAACCAGAACATTTGATCAACCAGCACACTCCTGGTCCCACAGGTGTTGTTTAATAAAATTTTGCTATAATTTAAGGAAGGCTAATTTGGCTGGTTCCAAGAATAAATAAGCTATCATACGATGAAAGGCTGAGTAGTATTCATTGGAATTTAGGGAGATGAGATGTGATTTTACTGAAACATATTTCTAAGGGGCATCTCAGGACAGATGTTCCCCTCATTGTGGAAATCTGAAACAGGGCAGGGGGAAAGGAGTAGAGTTTCAGTATAAGAAGCTGCCCATTAAGTTGGAGAGGAAAAGAAATTTCTTCCCTCAGAATTATTAATCTTTGTAATTCTGCACTCCAATAAACTGTGAGGCTGCATCATTGAATATATTCAAAGCCAAGTCAGACAAGGAATTTGAGAGTTATGGGGACAAGCAGGCAAGTTGAGATGACACTCAGATTAGCCATGACCTTATTGAATAGTGAAGCAGACTTAAGGGACTAAATAGCTTACACCTGCTCCTTTTCTTACATTCTCATGTAGATTGACACCTTAGCAAAAAGGAGTCTCTTTGATAATGCAGCTTTTCTTCAGTATTACAGTGATTTGATGGATGTCAATATGCAAAATTAGTAACATGAAATATAGATAAAAAATGACATTCAATTTGTGTCCTTTGTTAAATTACCAGCAAATGTTATTAAAGTGCGATTTAGCCACAACTTGAAGTATCAATAGAGATTTTGATTCATGCTATTTTTGCAAGAGCTTCAGTTGTTGGTTTACAAAATTCAGAGATAAAGTCTGAACTGTTAGAATAAGAAGTGAGTCATAAATGCACTATTTGCTCAGAATGGTCAACTAGAGCTTTACAATCAATAGATTGTTTTTACAGTACAGTCACTAATGTTGCAGGAAATGTAGGTATCTATAGACAATGGACCTTACAAAATAGCACATGAATAAGATGTCCAGAAATCTGTTTTTATTCATGTTTTAGTGAAAACAAAATCCAATAGATACCAGGAGATCCATTTGCTCTCCTAATAGTTCCATGTGCCCTTTTATCGCTTGAACATATACAAGGGCCTTCAGTTCCAGCGATCTGAAAGATGCACCCAGTGAGAGCCTGACTCCACGAAACAGTGTGACATTATTAGAGACTCTCATAGATGACAAAAGGAGGCATTGAGAAACATTCATTTGAGAGGGCACTGAGGAAAATTCTCATGTTCCATTTGCGTGACAATGCATGATATATACAAATATACTAACTCGGAGCCGGTATAAGTTACTCGGTGCTTCGAGACTGAAATGTCATTCCGATTACGCCACCTCCCCACTTAACCCCGATAACCTTTCATTCCCCCGATACCAAGAATCCTGATGAAATCATCCTAAGAATCTGACTTAAAAATAGGTAAAAGACTGTTTTCTGCCTCCTTTCGAGGAAGAGATGTCCAAAGGCTCAACTCAGAAATTAAAATTCTTACCCGTCTTAAAACTCCGTTTTAAATAGCAGATATCTAGTTCTAGAATCTCTCACAAGATGAAACGTTATTTTGCACATATATACTGTGGAGATCCCTCAGGATCGTCTTTATGTTTCAATCAAATCGCCTCTTACATTTAACTCCAGTTTAATGTTTTAACGAAGATCTGTAGCTCGAGTTGCAGTTGGAGTTGTTGATTGGTTCGCCGAGCTGACTGATTTTCGTGCAAACGTTTCGTCTCCCTTCCAGGTGAAATCGACAGCACTACCGATGTCACCTTGAAGGTAAACGAAACGTTTGCATGAAAACCAGTCATCTCGGTGAACCAACCAACAACTCCAATTTAACTCCAATTACAAGCTTATCCTGTCCAACCTTTCCCCAAATAACAACCCAACAATTCCAGGTATTAGTCTAATGAGCGTTCTCTGAACTTTTTTTTGTTCATTTACTGTATGTGGGCCTCATTAGCTGGAAAAGGTGGTGACAAGCTGCCTTCTTTAATCACGGCCATCCATTCGGTGTAGGTAGAGCCACAATAATTCCAACACGTCTACATCCTTCTCTAAATAAGGAAAACAATGCTGTACATAGTACGCTAGTTGCAGTCCATCACTGCCCTACATAACTAAAGCACAATCACCTTACTTTTGTACTTATACAAATACTATCACAATCTAAAGCATTAAACTTCCTAATCACCTGCTGTACCTACTTGGTAATCTTTTGCGATTCACACTGTAGCACACTTAGATCCCTCTGTATCTCAGAGTATTGCAATCTCTCACCATTTGAAGAAAAATGTTTTATCTTTGGATGACTTCAATATTTTTCCATATTATTGCTCAGTTGCCAGGTCTTCACACACTCACTTCACCCATATATATTCCTTTGTTTTACAACCATTGTGATCCCTTCACAATTTACTTTCCTACTTATCTTGCCGCATCAGCAAATTTATCAGCCATGCCTTCATCCAAGTAATTTATACAACTATTACAAAAGTTGTCTCCAACATTGATATCTGTGCACACCCAACTCAATATATATTGTCAGTTTTTCGATGATTTCGGATGATTTCATCAGGATCCAGGGACTTGTCAATCAGGTCCAACAATTTCCTCACTACCACTTCTTTGGAGTTTTTAATTTTCTTGAGTTTCTCCCTTCCACTTCCGGACTTATTCCTGGGATGTCGTCGGATTTAGCGGCACTTCCTCTGACTCAACTGTCAGCCTAGATAATGTTTAAATCCACAATCTTTCAAAAAGGAAAATCTCTTTATTTGAAATAAAGTGCAAATGTATAGCAGGTAAAGCTCTCCGATTGATACAGGATCCCTAACTTTACAGACTATGCCATGTACTTCCAGCGTACAGACCTGCAAGTGATTGTTTCGCCTTATGTTCGTAACGAGAGAACCCAACAAAAAGCTGCCTGAACTCAACACAGATACAGAACCCCCACCCCCACCATGCTTTAATCTTTCACAGCTTCGAATCCAATTCATTTTAAAAGGCTCGGAAATTTATGCCATTCTGATCTGGCCGGTGTTCAAACAAAAAAATCCTTCCGCCTATTGTACTGAACGCTTTTCCAGTGTGGATAATTCAGCTCCCCTTCTGCAGTCAGAGATTGGAAGAAGGAGAAAGTGGCAATATTCCAGAAAACTTTCCCTCTCTATTGGCGGAGGGGGGTTCCTAATAGAGAATAAAATATTGGTTATACTTACATAATGTGAGCGATTGCCCAAAATAACATCGATAAAACCCAGAGCGCGAAGGAAATGCAAACTTTCTCCCGGATGAAACAGCTGATCCAATAATTCCAATTCCATAAGGAAGATGAAGCAGTCGGAATTCCATCAGCCGGAGTTACTCCTTGCAGGCGACTCTGATTGTTGTCGACTGCAGAACTCATCGTGACTTCTTAGTTTGCTTAGAAATTCATTGACACCAACAAGACGAATGTTCTTACTCGCTTAATTCTCAAAATAAAATCTACCTCTAAGCATCGGCCCTTCCTGGTCAGTGTGAAAGACACAAATAGCCTAATTTGGTTACAAGTGGGCTCCGAATAGGCACCCGGAGAGTTTGACTCGCAGCTCTCGCTCGGCAGAAAGGGATCGCCAGTTTCAGTCTCCGTCTCTTCCTGCTTTCAGGAGATGTGACGACTCCAGCTCCTGAGCTATACTACGTTCAGGCAAAGAATGGGCGCAGTCTCAGCACAACTTTCCCACTACAAACCTTAGCAATTTAAACACGGAACTATTGTAATTCTGTCCATAAATAAAAACATACCCACAGGAATATATTAACCCAAAACATCGTTGCCCTTTTCACTCTGGGCTAACTTATTTTTTTTTAAAACACTGCAAGTTCCGTACGTGAAGAAAAGACGTATAATCAAAGCTCTTAAAGGTGCAGTGCCTTCCCAGCACAGCATCTTTGAAAATCTTCCACATTTTAAAGTATTTTTAATCAAACCGTTCAGATGTGTTATTGCACACTTATTGAAAGCAACATCAATTACTCCAATGCTTAAAATGTCTTCAAGTGTTTATCTAATTCCTTTTTGCTCTTCCAATCGGATTGTTGCAGTTTTACCTCTTCCTATCCTGACTAATGGCCACACAAATTACAATGCTCTTGGAGACGCTGTAAAGTTACCTACTCTTAGAAGGCGTGCTCAGCTTCCTATACGTCACACGAGCCACTCCTCATGGTCAGAAACCAGAAGCTAATTTAAAGCAACTCAGGAGCATTTGCAGCACGGAAAATTGGAGCAATTTGGAGTTTTCACATGGCACAGAAATGAGAAACGATGGTTCTTAACTATCGTGTCATTTTGTTCTAAAACCTAAAGAATTAAACTTTAAATATTTATATGTTCTTTGTAGTTTATGCCTACATAATATTTAATTCTTGATGCAGTAAAAATCTGTTTGGATCTCAAGATCCTAGTTGATGGTAATATCAGATAATTCAGAATGAAATTTGGCTTGATTTGGCTGTACGTTTTATTTTAGCAGTGTGGTTATGATAGTTGTCACTTAAAACATTACCAAGAGGCTGACAATGTATCTTCAACAAAAGAACAAAAATTATTACACATGGAAAGGGGAAAAAAAAAACCACACAATAACTAGTTGAAATAGATTTATTACACCTATCAAAAATAAAGATTAAACCCTTCTACCTCAATAATTGAAGGTGTTAAGAGTTTAGTAACACAAATAAAGATACCTAAATGCATTTTTTAATCTTCGGGTTAACTTCTGATAGTGGGTGATTAGTTTTTGAACTGTTTAATCCCTTTTGACATTAATCCCTTGTGATTGTACTAAGTGAAGAATACTTTAACTAGCCCACTTGTAAATATTGATTACTATCCATTTGTTACATCTAATTATGGATTTTTAAATATTACACGGTTTTTTTTTCAGAGAAAATTTACAAAGTGCCAGAGAAATTTGGACAGACCTACTTACTTTGCCCATCATTGTTTTATTTCAGATCTGCAGTTTGTGGTTTTATTTCAGTTTAATTTTCTGTATTAGTTTAAATAAAATACTGTCAAAGTTTTAAAAACATTGCTAAATTATTTACAAGTGAAATAGTCATTCCAAACGCAACTGCAACAGTAAACATGTCACCCAGGAGGAGGCCTCTGTAAGGCAGTAGCTGAAAAGTAACTGAACTAATCAACATTATACAGACCCAGCAAGATATGTCTGATTTAATTAAGAACACACACGAAATAAACAGTCTACAGAGCTAAATCAGGTTTCTGCTACTAGAATTGGTATTAGCTTATCATGCATGCCTCACCTAACCAATCGAAACCTAACCACATACTGCCTGAATAAGGAGAATTCACAGTGAGGGTGTTCTGATGATGCTGATGTCCCTGTCCCTGTCATTGTTTTTGAAATTGTTCTAATAACTTTATAGATTTGTGAACCTTGTCCAAACATACTCTTACCTGGGAGTAGTTTTGTTTGTGGTCAAACCCTGGAGGCTCACAATTCATGTTAAATTGGTTCTTTATAGCAACTTTACAGATACTCAAACTACATTGAAAGGTCATCCTGCCACCCCACCACTTTAAAGTTCCTTGTTCAATTTGCATGCTGTATTTGTATTTTTCCCCTGTAAATGTCTGCTTTCAATGCTAATTAGTTAAGTAAAACCAGCCACACTGCATCCTCATATCCCTTTAATCTCTTTCTGCACTACAACCTTGAGATATCGTTGCTCCTCCAATATCTGCGTTTGTTCCCATGTCTACATATGCCAAGGCATTAAGCTTTGGATTTTTCCTCTTTCTACCATTAAGATACTTCCCAAAATCTACCTTCTTGACCAACTATTTGAACAGCACTTGGTGGGGCTGGGCATCAAAAGCTGCTTCATGATGCCCCTGAGAAATACTTGGGATTGTTTCATATTAAAGACATTATGTAAATACAAGTCACTCTTGCGAGCTCCGCTCAAAAAAATATGCTCGTGATCCTTTGTACCTATAGAAAGCCACCCTTATTTGCATTCTGTCTGTCCTCTCGAGTATCACTGGATCATTTGTCACTTCCTGAATCCACGTCCACCTTTCTTGCAATTCTAACTTTGAATCCATCCAATCAGGTTCCTGACTCACCACTATTAAAAAAGCCAGCAAAATTCCAAACATCATTTCTCACTGTGAATATGATAGGTTAAGCCCTTCTCAACCCTCCTACTCACCATCTTAAACAATCACTCCATCACTGCACACTGCTGTCTAGTGCAAGCTGTACTAGAGCAACACCGCAATGTTCATTAATGGCACCTTCCCAAATAACACTTATTATTTAACATGGGCATTGCACAAGAACATAATCACTTGCAGATACCCCTCCAAACCACAGATCATTCTGACTTAGAAAGGTATCACCTTTCCTTCACTGCTGCTGGGTCAGTTGCTGGGAACTACCTTACACTCACTCTACTGTGAATGTATCTACACATGAACTGCAGCTGTTCAAGGTGGTTCCCAACGATTTCCTCAAGGGCAATAAACATTTGCTTCATCAGCAATGCTCACATCCTATGAACAAGGAAAACAAAATATTAAATAATTTCAGAATTACTGCACGACTAATTCACTTGCAGCTTATTCACTTCCTAGTATGTTTGGTATTTATGGTATTAACAGAATCAGAATCACTCTCATAATACACCATTTCTGTGTAACTCAAATGCCCTTAAATCTCCTCCCCCCCACCGCCCCCACCCCCACCGCGACCGCCGGTCTTCGT